ATGAACCGAAATAATTAATCTCCTAAATAATCCAGCAAAAAGGACCATATAAATTTATGAAATCCTGATACATAGAACCAAAAATAAAATCATACCTCTGCATCTAATATTTTCTTATGCCTTTTCTGCCTGGTCTTGGGAGCACTACATTTGTCAACTGGCTTTGCTTGTTTAGAATGATCAATGGGAGACTGGCCTACCTCCCCTCCATGGGATAATGCAGAGTAAGTTTTTCCAAGTGAACCTGGAATAGAGAAACAGAAGCATAAGCATTGGGCAACATGGCTGAGATAACATATAAGGTTAAAAAACAAGATGACTTGGGCGCTGTAACAGAAACTGACCTGAAGGAATATTAATCTTAAGTTTTGACGTTTTAGACGGAGCATTCACCAGACTCTGCAATACATCTAAGACCAGCATATCATCTGCAAACACAGAATAACAGTAGTCAATTTGCGCTGCCTGTTGTCTTAGCAATACCAAATGTTATAATGAGGACTAACATAAGGTCGCAGAAAAAGCCTTTCAATGAACTATAGATGGACAAGAAGATACACTGGACAACAATCATACCGCCTATGAAATCAACTAGAGGAATATTTTCCAAATGATGTTGGTGTTTTTCACTCAGGTTATATTACCAAAACAGGCTTACATGATATGCGTACTGCACACCATGCACAAGCTCAAGCTTTAGACATGGAAACCTGACCTTTAGAATCTGTCTTAAGTACATGTGATGAAATAATTATATACCATGAACATAGGAGGGTATAAAAGTGTTGTAACAAAAAGTAAAAAAGAAGCTGGGGAAATAAACCAGTGACAGGGGAAGGAGTAAGAACAATGTGAAAAATACCTTCAGAAATAAAGTCGCTGAGCATCTCATGGTAGTCTTGCTCATCTTTGCCTGCTTGATCTTCATGCTGATTTTTCCTTTTCTTCAAATGTTTCTTAGATTGACATATCTCAGCATCTCCAGTTCCTTTGGAATCCAATAAAGTTTGGCCTTGATCAGCCTTTGCTTCTGTGATTCCGGAACTTCCATTAGGAGAGAACTCGTCCATGGGAATGTTAGTACAAACACTGTTGATCTCAACATCATTTTTATTGGTATCAATTTTGATGTTTTCAAATTTCAGAATGGCATCATTAGCATTCCTCTCTGGAGGAATTGTAACCGCTATGCGAGGAGTACGCCTCCCAACAGTATGAGTCCGCCTTTTCTTGACCAGTTCTGAAAAAAAAGCTATTTCAAATTGATCAACAGAAGTATATAATGAAAATGGTTCCAATTTTGGTGTCAAATGTTTTATCTATCTTACTCAGCAATTTCTTACGTGACTGAAAAAAATATTACCAAAAAACATAGACAACATATTTCCCTAACAATACTTACTGCCATATAATCTTTTCTTGAAGGAAGATGAAAATCCAGAAATTGTCCCGTCATGACAGGAGTGGTGTAGGTGAGGGCCTTCATTTGCTTTCTGTTCTGTAGCTTCTCCCTGTTTCCGCACCTTGCTAGATTCTCTGACGGTTTGATCACCTCCTCTATGGCTTTTGGATTCATCCTACAACCGATAAAAATTAGTGGTAGCTTACAAAATTATGAAATTACATGTTTGCCCTACAAGTATCAGTTTCAGGATGCCAAACTCATGCAGCAAAAAATTAATTGTATGCATGCCATATATGTATACCCCAGAAAGAATTAACAGCTAATTAGGCTTTATGCTAGTCAAGCATTAAGAAATTAATAAGGTAGGCTAAACTTCAGGTCAAGTTTTGTCACCTTCACAAATCAGAACTATTGATTCAACATGTGTATTCAGCATTGCAATTTCTTTTCCAACCTTTTGTTTCATGGACACTCACTCATTTTTCCAACCTAAGTGTTCCATTCCAATTTATCCTAGTTGGGTGTCATTCAACGCTAGAAAGGCTGTCATCACTATGGAGTACTCCCTTCTTTCCTTTTACACAGAAAGCACACATATTTTAAGACTTAAATTTCGTGAATTTTGACTGACAATTACTCTAATTCTGTGTAGATTTTTTGATATAGAAATGTCGTGTTGCATCCATGTTTCAAAGTATTTCCCTATGATCATGGTATTGTTTTTGTGAATAGCATACCATATAAGGGAAACTAACAGTCAAAAGTTAGCTTTGGAGGTCACTCCAGTAAAACAACATCATGCAATTTTCAAAACAGAGGGCATACATAGCTATTCTTATTCAATCATATTGCCATATGTAGAACATTGTGTACCAGAAAAGAACCAGAATGATCAGGCATGTCTCCATTGCTTGGTCACTTTGTATAGTTCAAATATTCACTTAATGAAATAACAAAAGAAAGAACCTGCCAGTCGTTCGACACCGAAGATGGAAACCAATAACACGAGCAAATCCAACATAAGCTTACCAAAACATTGCGATGGCCAGTCACCAATGCAATAAAACCTTTGGCGGTAGCTTGACGTTCTGGAAGAGATAAGAAAGTCTACCAAAATAAATAAAAAAAAGTCAATCTACAAAGATCATAAATGCAACATGATCTCAAACTGAACTGTAGGTTGGATACAGTTATTTGATACGAAAATAAGCGTTGAAGTGTGAACACCCAAATAAGTAATGCAGCAAAATGTGATGTCTTATATGAGCAGAAAAATATCATCTTTGGTTTGACAAGTGCAGTAAACGGTAGAGGATGCAAGGATGATACATTCTGCATCTAGAATACATTAACAATAGATTTCAGTGTATAGACTCACCCGATGTATGCTGTACAGAGATTGTACCATGTCTGATGATTTGCTACCGACTGCTAGGCTGATCTGTGTATGCAAATTCACCGTCAGCATTCACATGGCCAACAATGAAATGTCATTATTCCTCAATGGTACTTACAAGATAAAGGGAAAAACTAAGTGAAATGGACAGCTAGACCTTTTTCCAGTCTTTTCCGTGTTGGCGGTAGGCTTCATAGAAGTATGTCAGTTCATCTTTGCTCCATTCGGGATCTAATTCGTCAATCTTTCTCTTCTGCGATATGAAAACATTTTGATGAAGGAGAGAAAACAACTGAATTGTGCATTAATGCGAGTGCAGTGCTATCGTTGAGGACATGTTGCTACAGATATCAGTAATTATCTACTGACTCATCAATCAAATCTCAATAAAGCATCAAAGAAAGTATGCTTACTTTTTGTTTAGCCTTGCTTGAACTATGTGGATCCTCGTGTTGCGGTCGATCCTCATACCCTTTTATTACGGCCTTGTTAATTATCCGAGTACCTTTTGCTGGACCCATCAAAATGGTCCTTGACTTCAGACTCGTTCAATGCTATATAAGCAACAAAATGCCAGTAAGAGCAGAAGTAAAATGTAATAATATGAGTTGTAGAATTTTGACCTACGCTAAGATGCAGTGCAAGGAAATGAATCTCATTCTTAAACAAAAGTTCGTAATGCAGCCCATTTACTAATCAAATTTAAGCAAGCTATCGCTTCATAAGAAACTATCCGAAGCAGCCCATCGTTAAATAATTTTACTTATTATTAGAAGCGAAGAGGAATTCATAGAAAAGTCCGTGCTTTGCAAATCCATTGCCAGAATTGCTTACCCCTCCATTAAAATTGAAAGGAGCAATGTCTGTTAGCTGCCAAAATAGTAATAACCCCAAAGAAAAACCTCTTCTAATTTTACCCAGCGTGACAAAGACGGGTTAAAGTTGCCGTGGGACCCTTATATGCCAGGGAGGCGAGAAGAGCGGTGGCAAAGCAGCTGCGGGAGGGGTGGTCGCGGCGGCGCACAAGACGGCGGCAGCGCGGTTTCGAGCAGGGGGAGGAGGCCAAACTGGAACGGCGCGTTGCCAATCTGGACTGCGCAACAGCGCCTCCGAGAACGGACGCGATCCAGGCGCAGTGCGGCCTCGCGCGCGGCGAATAGGCGTTCTGCCGCCAGCCGCCGCGATTCCGTCGGCCACCCCCACCCACAGCGCCGAGGGCTTCGGCGACACCGGCCGCGCCTCAGAAACCACGCAAAACGCGCGAATTCCCCACCACAAAGCCAGCTCAAAAACCCTCCACGAGCAGAAATCAACCACACGGCACCACCGAAACCATCTCGCCGGAGATCACCCACCTCCCGAATTCCAACACGAATTACATCAAGAAAGCTTACCTGCGTCGGATCTGGCCGGAATCGCACGCCGGCGCGGCCTCCACGGCCGGGCGGAACTCCAGCCACCGCCGCCGCCGCACGCCCACGCCGGCGGAGGCTTCGTCCGGGAAGGCGGGGCCGCCTGGGAGCTAGGGTTTCAGGGCTTCAGCAGCGGGGTCGGATCGGGGAGCGAGAGGAGATGAGGCGGCGATGCCGGTTTCGCGTTTGTGCTGCGCTGCGGCCGCGGCTTGGCGGGCGCAGGATACAAGTAGAAGGGGAAGAGGAGAGGAGACGGGTGGGAGCGGATTTGCGAGGTGGGTGGGGACTTACAGGTGGGCCACACGCAAGTTCGCGCGTTTGAAAAATTAGGGTCGGGGGACGGAGAGAGCTGGAGATGGTGGTGGTAAACTCGGGGACGCGGTGCGAACGTGGGCTTTGGACTGCTTCTGGGCTTTGTTTCGGCCCTTCCATACTATTTCCTCCTCTCCGTTTTCTAATGCCGGCGCTTGGCCCGTTCAACGAACAACACCCCTAACCGGCGTAACGGCGAGTTTAGGGATTTGGATGTTTTGTCCAGAATTTTTTTTTGTTCTCCGGGACGAATTGAAGGATTTTTGTTTTGTCTTGAACCATGTATTTATTATTAAATTGAACTGTTACTTTTACGGTCCTTGTGAAATTCCGCAGCCCTTTTTGATCAGTATGACAAATAAACATAAACATAAAATCAGGCACCATTTTCACAAGCTATTATGCGAGGTGCGTGTTTTTTTTTTTTTTGTCGCCTACCGCTGAAAGCACAAATGCCGTTAAATCCTAGAAAATTCGCTCCCACCGGGAGTCGAACCCAAGACCTCAAAAGTGTTACTCGGATGCCGTAACCACTAGACCAAAGACCCCTTTCACGTTCTCCGGGACGAATTGAAGGATTTTTGTTTTGTCTTGAACCATGTATTTATTATTAAATTGAACTGTTACTTTTACAGTTCTTGTGAAATTCCGCAACCCTTTTTGATCAGTATGACAAATAAACATAAACATAAAATCAGTCAGGCACCATTTTCACAAGCTATTATGCGAGGTGCGTGTTTTGTGAGCTTTACGTTGTGTGCTTGCGTGACTGATGGATGCCGCTATGCATCAGGATACATTTTTAGGCTATTTATGTGAGATGCGTGTTTTTAATTTTACGTTTTCTGTTTGTGTGAGTGATGGACGCTGCTATGCATTAGGATAACAAGATAGTAACTAGTTTGTAGCCAGCCAATATGGTCACTCTAGGGATTTTTCTTTTTCCCTAGGTAAAGCGTACGTAGTTAGAGACGAGACAATGAGAATGGCATAAGTACTCGGGGAGCATATCATGTGAAAACGGGCTAAGTGTTGATAACCTGGAAACTACATCTGTAGCCTATGGATCATCGATTGACGTCCAGGATGCGTCTATCCTTCTCTCCCACCCGCTCAACCCACATTTGCAAAAAACCGCCCGCAACTCACCAGACACTTTGCAGAAGAGCCCCTTGGCATCCTCGTCGTACGCAAGACCGTGCACGGCCGTCGCCCCTGCGCGAACCGGCCGCCGCCGTGACTCCTCCACCGGCCGCCGGGGGCTCTTTGGGTGCATGCCGTACCGCAGGCCGTCACACGTTTCGTCCTCAAGCACAGTCACGTCTCCCTCGTCCGAGCAGCTGCTCCGCCCGTGTCCCTTTGGAGAAGAGCATTCGGTCCCGATGGCGGCAAGATCCAGCCATGCCCATAGGGCCACAGGGGCAGTCCTCGTATCGAATTCGAAGCCAGCCGGATTCATCGGCTGAGGAATATCACAAGAACGCATAGAAAACACAAGGATACTTCTGAACGTGCTTGCAATGCATTCCTGACATCGGCGTCGTACGGCCGTGCACTACTCGCTAGCGCCCTGGCCTGCTCTTCAGGCATATTCAGCAACGAAAATACGCGAAGGTTCATTGCGCCGGCAATACCACCTTGCCTGCATAGGCCGCCATTTTCGTTGAAAAACCAAACAGGCGTGAGGCTGGAGACAGAAATGTCCTTCCCAAATCGAAACCTCAAATTGAAAACGGGTCGGATAATTTTAACCATGAAGGCCCCTTTGGAACGCAGGATTTTCACAGGAATTATACAGGAATTTCACAGGAATCAGTTGACTGTTCACAGGAAAAACGCAGAAATAGGAAAAATTCCCGCGTTCCAAAGGCCCCCGAAAATTAAAAGAAGATCTTAGGATTTTTCTCTCCAAACAGCAGAAATGAAGAGAAGAAAATCCACGACCAAACATGTACATTGGGAAAGACGGATTAAAAAAATCAGAAAGCAACTGCACATAACCCAAATCCTGTGAATGAAACAACCCGGGTTTAAGAAATTGCACATCGATCTAGGACAAGTGCATCCGGTAAGCGCTAGACCATGGAGATGAGGCTTGAGCCGTGCGTCTTGGTGGCGGCGCGTGCAGAGGTCGTGGAGACGGCTGAGGGGAGGGAGGGACTGAAAGGCTTAAATTTCCTTTTGGACCAGACTTATGGGCCTTAAAACTAAAAATCGGCCCAGGTAGGACCAGTTTGCCCAACCCCTAACCGGCGACATCGTCTTCTCTCCCGCGTCATCGCCACCGTCCACTGCCCATCCACACCACACCCGACCTCGCATGGCTGCCCACGCCGTCTCCCCCCTCACCGGCGGCCTACTCCGCCGCGGCGTCCCCCTCCATCACCGCCGTCGCCTCCTCGCCATAGCCGCCACCGCTTCGGAAGCGCCTGCGCCTACTCCCACTCCATCCCAGCCGCCGCCATCCCCGGCTTCACCCAGGAAGGGATACTTTCCGAAGCGCAACGAGGTCATCGAGCTCACATGCGAGGGGCTCGCCTTCAAGGGAAAGGGCGTGTGCAAGGTTGCGGGCTCTACCTTCGTCCTACTCTGCGACGGCGCGCTCCCGGGAGAGCGCCTCCTCGCCCGCGTTCGCCGCCTCCGCCGCGGCGCCTTCGCCGAGGCCGCCAAGCTCAAGACCCTCGAGCCCCACCACGACGCCGTCGATGCCCCGTGCCCGTTAGCCGCCGACTGCGGCGGCTGCAAGAGCCAGACCCTCGCGTACGCCGCGCAGATCCGCCACAAGCACCTGCAAGTCCGCGACTTGCTTGTAAACTTTGGAAAGTTCGATCCCAAGCAACTGGAGAGCGCAGAACCGGATGCCATCCTTAAGCCCATCGTGCCGTGCGATGAGATATTTCGGTATAGGAACAAGGTGAGGTTTGGGTGCAGGGTTTAGGATGGGTTTTGGGCGTTAAACGCAACGCCTTGATTGGTTTTCGTTTCCGCAGATGGAGTTTTCGTTTGGGACGAAGAGATGGGTGGCAAAAGAGTTGATGAAGGAGAAGGAGGAGGAAAAAGGGGAGGGGGTGAAGCAGGAAACGGATGAGCATGATGTTTATGCACTTGGATTGCATGCACCGGGGTTCTTCGACAAGGTTCTGCATGTGCAGAAATGCTTCCTGCAGAGTGAACCGGCAGATGAGGTGTGTAACTGGAAATTGGTTGACTATGATGTATTGACTCTGCTTGAATTTACAAAAATTGATGGTGTTCTGGTTCCTATGTACTCATATTAAATTTTAAATTTAGATTTCTTTCGTGGATTGAATAAAATCTCCATGAAGTGCAGTGGTATATATAGTTCAGTTCCACACATTTAAATCAAACAATCGGTACTTTTCTGGTTTGATTGATTGATGGGCAATAGTTTCTTAGTGTGCAAATTTTGGTAATATGTTGTATATTGTTCAAAAACGGTGGCTCAGGCAGTGCATACTAATGCCACTGGTTTATGATGTTGCATGTTGGTGTGCAACATTACATCGTAGAAATATCTACTTGCATTGGAATTTGATACCTGTTAGGGTGATTTTGCATGCGCGAATGAAGAAATATATTGTTGGTTGCTGATTGTCCTGAACCATGTAGCTTGGTCATTCTGTATAGGCTATGGATCATTGCACTGTTATATGTCTCTGCGAATGTAGAGCTGTTGTGTCTCTTTCAATGTAGATTTCTTGAGGTTGATGTATTTCTGTGATCATCATGTGTGCATGCTGAGATGGTGGAGGTCACATCTTTTTTTAACTCAAAACTTTTCCATTACGCTATTTTACTACTGCTAAATGGTGTGCAAGCAGTTCACTGTTTCTTAATTTTTGATTAACATACAATGGAATTTTGAATTGATTAGTTGCTAATTTCCATAGGTTCTTGCAGTTGTTCAAGAATCCTGGATGGATCCAGCTCTTGGTCTCACACCTTACGATGTCCACAAGCATGTTGGGTTTCTCAAGCATCTTATGATAAGAACAGGAAGGTAGGGTAGCCCATTCTTTTTGTTCTCACATACTAATGATTCTGTATCTCTCGTTGCATGGGTGAAATCTAAATACTACTTATCGCATTTTGATTCCTTCTACCACATCTTGTATTCACTGCATGCCAATTTTATGGATACTACATTTTAAGTTCTACAATCTAACTCAGGAAAGTTGTCATTGAACTCACTCGACTTAACTAATTGAACCGGTAACAAGTGCGTTTTCAATGGAACTGATCTTTGTATTATGAGTCTAATATGGCTTTACTACATTTGAATGTTTACTGAAGTTGGCGACTAGTATTCTTGGATTCATTGTCCACTTGGTCATATATTTCTATTTAGGATTAGTTTGGTTTTGTTTATGTTTGAATGAAGTATCACTGATATGGCGGGGGATAGTTGATGTAAGTACTTCAATGCAAACAAATGGATCATTTGCCTTTTGTGACCTTTGGAGCAAATCATTTTACGTGATGAACACATTCAAAGATTCATTTTGTTTCTCTTTCCAGAAATGTCAGCACTGGAGCTCCAGAAGTGATGGTCAATTTTGTGACATCACGTTATGAACCAGAGCTACTCATGCCTCTTGTTAACCGCATCACAAGAGTACCTGAAGTGGTATGTGATCACACTTTGTTTTGATATTTTGGTCATACTATCCATTTAGAATGAACTGTTGGTTTTTGTGCAATTGAATATTTTGGTCACCAAGGTTGGCCTCTAACATTGATATTCTTGTACCGTCATTTGTAGGTTAGCGTCATAAATAATGTGAACACATCTGTTGGCAACACATCAGTCGGTGAACAAGAATATACCTTGTATGGGAAGCCATTCATTACAGAGATGTTGAGAGGACTTACATTCCAGATATCTGCCAATTCCTTCTTCCAAACAAATACGAAGCAGGTTTGTTTTTGTTCAATAATGGATTGATTGTAACACATTTTCCTGTCAACACCATACTATGTGATGTTTCTCCTATTGTCCGTTTTTTTTCGTTAAGATTTCAGTTGATGCATAAAGAAAGCTAAAAAAGGCATAAACTAAATAAGAATCACATCTAAGGATATAAAAACAGCTTGCATGTTTGCTTGCAGGCTGATGTTCTCTACAAGCTTATTGAAGATTCTGCTGGGCTTAAAGGAGACGGCTCTGAGATTGTTCTTGACTTGTTTTGTGGAACTGGAACTATTGGTTTGACTCTTGCCAAAAGGTGTTTTTTCTCGTGCGTGTATCTCTTACTTAATTATTAGAGAGGCTAATTGCTTTCTTTGGTTTGCATGAAACTAGTCTTTCACTAGTATGCTACCCCATTTCACAACCACCATAGTTACTAAACACTCTTCTACTCTGGCCAGGGCAAAGCATGTGTATGGATATGAAGTTGTTCCTGAAGCCATTGCAGATGCTCGAAAGAATGCTAAGTTGAATGGTATCAGTAATGCCACGTTTGTTCAGGGAGATCTGAATAAAATTAGCGAAACATTTGGAAAGGAATTTCCAAAGCCTGATATA